CCTCGATAAGCCGCCTACAGCCCCATCCTGCTCCAAACCAGGGCCCTGTGACCATGCATTCTGGCCTTGGGCCCCAAGTCTTGTGGACCATCTGGGCTGGACAGCATCCCCAGCCTCAGCCCTGTCCAACTCCCTCCCTTACTCCCTCCCTATGGGGGCCTAAATCCCTGCTTCTTCCTGCCAGACTTACCTGTGAGGATCTGCTCTCCAGGCTGCCTGGCACCCATGTGCATGTGTACGTGCGCATGTGCACATAGCATCTCCTGCCTGCCTGCTCTCCTCCTACTCCCCCCAGTCCCTCACAGGCTTGAACTCTTCCAACCTGCAGAGAGCTCTTAGCGAAAGTGGAAAATCCATGTGTTTCTTTGTTAAAATGAAAAATCCACATTTTTCTTGGTCAAAAGGGAAAATCCACTCCCCCCCCAACCAATTTTCCATAGGAAACAAAATCTGGATCCCTAATCATAATTTCACCTTCTCCCCCCAAAAAAGAAAAAGAAACCAAAGAAAAAAATCACTTTGGAACATTCTTTAACATGAATCTGTTCAGTTCTAAGCATAATTGTCATCGTATGTGAGAAAACAATATTTTACAGCTGGACTGATGTGTATAAAGGCAATAGGAGCTAAACTCTCCCTTATGAGTCTATGTGAAGATCACATGAACTTACATGCAAATCTAACTTCATCTTGAGCTCTGTGCCTGAAAAGTTATAGCATTTTAATCTTGTGTTTTTTATAATATAGGTGAAACATATAGTCTTGAAATATACATATAATATTGAAATATACAATTTTTAAAAGTTACATGCAGATTTAGGATATGAAGTAGAATGGTTGTAAGTAATATCAGTGAATACTAAACATACTGAACCAGTCCTGGTTGTCTGTTACGCTTGTGTATTTGGGTACAGAAACTAGCATATTTTTAATTAAAGAAAAAACATTGGAATTACAAAGTATATTTATGTGCTTCTTTGAAGCAATTTAAGTTAGCATGTACCTAAGCAAAAATCTTTTGTTTCTCTATTCTGTTACTTTAAGAAAGTCACATATAGTTTTATAGTTGGTAGGGCTCGAAGGGACATGAGCAGATCATCAAGTCTGACCCCCTGCCA